TGTTGGGTGTGGCCTATTATGCTAATTCCTTGGGGGTCTCCCGTCCATGTACTAACCAGGACTGACCCTGCTTAGCTTCCGAGTTCTGACAAGATCAGGCCAACCTGGGGCATCTAGGTCATGGCTTTAAGGGGCTACTGGGCGTGAACCATGCTCATTACGTATGGTGCATCAGTCAGTCGTGTAATGTTCCCACCCACAGGCCGGTGCGCCCAAATAAGGAGAGCCGGGCCGTACACTTTTACAGGCACAGCCGATGAAACCGACTCCTACCTCTTTGGCTTCGTTCTGCAGCTGCATGTTCTCCGCGATGTACTTCACGCTCTCGATCGCCTCCCTCATTTCCGGCGTCAGCACCGAGAAGGGCAGCAGGGCGTCCACGGATTCGCAGCTGGAGCTCTGCGTCAGGTTGCCGCCCACTTTGATGTACTTGTGCGGGCAGCCGCCGCAGGCCGCGTCCTGGCACACGAAGCCTTCCCGGCAGCACTTGGTTTCGGAGGTGCCGAGGCAGCTCAAGTGGGAGAGCTCGGCGCCGTAAGGGGACTTCGGCTTCGGGCCGTCGCCGTCTTCGCCGGCCGGCCTGGTCATGAACATGATCCTGGGGAGGAAGCGGAGGAAAATGGCCTTCACCCACTCGGGCATGGTGTGCGTCCTGGGAGTCCGGTAGTGCACGTTCAGGACAAAGACGGTGATGACGATCGAGAGGGTGACGAATATCATGGTGAAGAGCAGGTATTCCCCGATCAGCGGGATCACCAGCGAGGTGGACGGGATGGTCTCCGTGATCACCAGGAGGAACACGGTCAGCGACAGGAGGACCGAGATGCACAGCGTCACCTTCTCCCCGCAGTCTGAGGGCAGGTAGAAGACCAGCACGGTCAAGAAGGAGATCAGGAGGCAAGGGATGATCATGTTGATGGTGTAGAACAAGGGCAGCCGCCGGATGTAGAGCGAGTAGGTGATGTCGGGGTAGACCGCCTCGCAGCAGTTGTACTTGATGTCGTGCTTGTAGCCCGGGGCGTTGATGATGGCCCACTCGCCGCTCTCCCAGTAGTCCTTCAGGTTCATGGCGGAGCCGACCAGCACCAAGTCGATCTCGGCTTTGTCGTAAGACCAGGACCCGAACTTCATGGTGCAGTTTTGGTAGTCGAAGGGGAAGTAGGTCACGTCTATTTTGCAGGAGCTCTTGAAGATCGCCGGGGGCATCCACGTGACGTTGCCCGTGTAGTTCAGGATGGCCTTGGTTTTGTCGTCCACCTGGAAGTCCCCGACAGCGCTGCCAAGGAATCGGAGGAGAAGGGATTGGATTGGTACCCCGCCCTTCGCTCAGAGTCTCAGAGGAGATGAAGAAGGGATTGGATTTCTACACGGCCCTTCGCTGCATGAAGGAGTCTCAGAGCGGCTTACCATCGCCTTTCCCTTCCCCACCCCACAACAGACAACCTGTGAGGTAGGTGGGGCTGAGGACTGCTCCTGAGAGAACAGCTCTGAGAGAACTTTGACTGACCCAAGGTCACACCAGCAGCTGCATGTGGAGAAGTGGGGAATCAAACTCAGTTCTCCCAGATTAGAGTCTGTGCTCTTAACCACTACACCAAACTGGCTCACCAAACAGTTTACAGTCTCCTCCCCTTCCTCTCCCAGCAACAAGACCCCCTGTGACTGTTAGGTGGGGCTGAGAGAGCTCTGAGAGAACTGCTCTTGAGAGAACAGCTCTGAGAGAACGTGTGACTGACCCAAGGTCACCCACTTGGCTGCATGTGGAGGAGTGGGGAACCAAGCCCGCTTCTCCAGATTAGAGTCCGCCCACCTAACCACTACACCACACTGCCCTCCAGTGTATCAACAGGTCAAGCTATTTTTGCATAGCTGCCATATGAGAGCAGCAGCAGTTGGGCCTACGTTAGTGGGGTGCTGAGAATGTATGTGCGGCAGTTAGGAAAACAAATGTATTTATTAGTGAGTATAGTTCTCCTGTGTCTGATCTGGAAATGATCTGTCAGTTACAGGCGTCAATGAAATGCACTTGGGGAAAACTCTTTTTTTGCTGGGGAGAGGCCGTGGCTCAGCAGAAGAGCCTCTGCTTTCCATGCAGAAGGTCCTGGGTTCAATCCCCGGCGTCTCCAGTTCAAAGGACCAGGCAGTAGGTGATGGGAAAGACCTTCATCTGGGACCCTGGCTCAGTGGCAAAGCCTCTGCATGGCACACAGAAGGCCCCAGGTTCAATCCCCGACATCGCCAGTTAAAAGGACCAGGCAGGAGGTGATGGGAAAGACCTTCATCTGGGACCCTGGCTCAGTGGCAAAGCCTCTGCATGGCACACAGAAGGCCCCAGGTTCAATCCCCGACATCGCCAGTTAAAAGGACCAGGCAGGAGGTGATGGGAAAGACCTTCATCTGGGACCCTGGCTCAGTGGCAAAGCCTCTGCATGGCACACAGAAGGCCCCAGGTTCAATCCCCGACATCGCCAGTTAAAAGGACCAGGCAGGAGGTGATGGGAAAGACCTTCATCTGGGACCCTGGCTCAGTGGCAAAGCCTCTGCATGGCACACAGAAGGCCCCAGGTTCAATCCCCGACATCGCCAGTTAAAAGGACCAGGCAGGAGGTGATGGGAAAGACCTTCATCTGGGACCCTGGCTCAGTGGCAAAGCCTCTGCATGGCACACAGAAGGCCCCAGGTTCAATCCCCGACATCGCCAGTTAAAAGGACCAGGCAGGAGGTGATGGGAAAGACCTTCATCTGGGACCCTGGCTCAGTGGCAAAGCCTCTGCATGGCACACAGAAGGCCCCAGGTTCAATCCCCGACATCGCCAGTTAAAAGGACCAGGCAGGAGGTGATGGGAAAGACCTTCATCTGGGACCCTGGCTCAGTGGCAAAGCCTCTGCATGGCACACAGAAGGCCCCAGGTTCAATCCCCGACATCGCCAGTTAAAAGGACCAGGCAGGAGGTGATGGGAAAGACCTTCATCTGGGACCCTGGCTCAGTGGGAGAGCCTCTGCTTGGCATGCAGAAGGTCCCAGGTTCAATCCCCGGCATCTCCAGTTAAAAAGACCAGGCAGTAGGTGGTAGGAAAGACATCTGTCTGAAACCCCGGGGACCTGCTGCCAGTTTGAGTAGACAATACCGACTTTGATGGCCCAAGGGTCTGATTTAGTATAAGGCAACTTTCTATGTTTTCTTGAGTTGTATGTGCTTGGCAGTTCTAAACTGTGCAGTTCCTTTCCAGGGGAGTTACGAGCACATCCTTATGCTCTGAGAATTGTAGGGCGTGGGCAGGTGTGCCATGCATGATGTTAAACAGTTACGTGTCTCGATTTCAAGGTGTAGGTGAGAATTCCTAACTTGGAAACTGGCAGACAAGAGACCCTAAAGGGTGGCAAGACTTTGTACATGACATGCCTTCTATTTCGGTTCCCAAACCAATTTCCGTAACAGGGCACGTGTACCAAGTTCCCAGCATAGCTTAGCAGCTGCTTTTTGGAGAGCCTCACTTAAGGAATACAGGTGCATCCCAACACTTTCTGAAGAACTGTGGGTGCACAAGAACATCTCCTGTTAAAAGCATTTCAGACAACAGGTCTCAGAAAGACCTCTCGGCCAGGACGTTGGAGAGCCGTTGCCATCGGACTTGACTAATAGCTTGTCCATTGGACTAGGTGGATCAGTGGTCTGTGGGCGTGATATCCCCAAAGGAACAGGCTTTGCAGAACCTCTGAAAGAGTGAGGCATGCTCAAATTGCAGTCCATGCATCATTTCTCAGCAGATGAGATGTCATAACCTTACTTGTTATACAACACGATATCTGGCTTCCAGATCTTATGCGACGGCACTCGAATGAACCGGACCCCTCCATAGTCCTCTGGATTCCACTTGAGCTTGTAATCGTTCCAGATCTGATCACAGAAGGGGGAAATCAAATAGTATTAAATTTACAGTCTTTGTATAATGGCTAATAGGCCCCCAGTAACCATCTTTGCATTATACACGGATTTCTATTGTGCTGAATTCAAAAAGTCATCGCTGGCCGACTGTTAGGTAGGTACCATGTTGTGCTATCTGTCCGTCTGTCTGCCTGCCTGTCTATCATCTATCAACTATCATCTATCGTCTATCTACCAAATATCAACTATCATCTATCTACCATTATCTATCACCTATCAATCTATCATCTAGCAATCTATCATCTATCTAGCCTGTATCAACTATCTATCTATCTATCTATCTATCTATCTATCTATCTATCTATCTATCTATCTATCTATCTATCCATCCATCCATCCATCCATCCATCCATCCATCCATCCTCTATCTATCATCTATCTATGTATCTATGTATCTATCTATCTATCTATCTATCTATCTATCTATCTATCTATCTATCTATCATCTATCTATCTCTCCATCCATCCATCCATCCATCCATCCATCCATCCATCCATCCATCCATCCATCTGATTCATTAATCACCCAATCCCCGCTATTGCAGGGCTCTGGGCAATGTACAGTATCCATAAAACACAACCAGATAAAAATCATTAAAACATGAAAAGCACATATTTGAAGAAAAGAGATGGCGAATACTAATCCATCCGATTTCAGACTGCTGGATACTTCGTGGCTACCCCAGCTTTCTCCCAAACGGGGACCCAAAGTGGTTGACATCATTCTCCTCTCCATTTTATCCTCAGAGCAACCCTGTGAGGTAGGTTACGCTGGGAGAGCGTGACTGGCCTAAGCCAAGGTCACCCAGCGGGCTTCCCTGGCACACATGGGGATTCGAACCTGGTTCTCCCAGTTGCTAGCCCGACACTCTTAACCACTGCACCACACTGTTGGACCTTGATCTCGCCCTGGAGGTGTTTAGAATTTGGAAGCTGCTTAGCAGAAGGGCGCTGTGGAATTTCAGGAGGCTGTTGTTGGGGGGGGGGTTATTCAATGCAAACAAACATATCACCACTAGGTGTCAGGAATGCATCGCAAGTCGAAAAGCGCAAGCTTTTCGGATTCCCTTTTGCCTCGCTTCGGGTTCTAGCACTGGGCCTTCCTTCTTCAAAAGTCAGGTGGGAGATGTGGAGAGGTTGTCCTGGAGTTGGGGAAGTGCTAAGAAAAGCCAGCTTGTTACCTTCTTTGGAGGTTTTCGAACAGAGGCCAAACTGGCTCAATTTGGCAGCTGCTTAGCAGAAGGGCGCGGTGGAATTTCAGGAGGCTGTTGGTGGTGGTGGTGGGGGGTTATTCAATGCAAGCAAACACATCACCACTAGGTGTCAGGAATGCATCGCAAGTCGAAAAGCGTGAGCTTTTCGGATTCCCTTTTGCCGGGCTTCGGGTTCTAGCACTGGGCCTTCCTTCTTCAAAAGTCAGGTGGGAGATGTGGAGAGGTTGTCCTGGAGTTGGGGAAGTGCTAAGAAAAGCCAGCTTGTTACCTTCTTTGGAGGTTTTCGAACAGAGGCTCGGCGGCCCTCTGACAGCAGTGCTGGTTCTGTGAACTTAGCATGTAATAAACAGACTGGCATACGAGACGCTAAATATATTCAAACATCATATCAGTTATATTAGACTCGTGGAACGCCCGATACAACGTGCATATTGAAAATGAATGATCAACCAATACCCAAAAATGTAAACCGCCCAGAGACCCCTACGGGGGTTAGGGCGGTATATCAAGTTGAAACAATAAATAAATAAATAAATATACTGGAAGATGTTTGTATGACACGCAGGAATCGCGACTAGAAAGATTAGAATGGGAAAACTGTAGGGCTTTTTGAAACACTTATTGAAGGTTTGTTCAGACGAAGAGACGAAACGGAACTCAATCCGGAGGTCCTCGTCAACAATCACAATAGCTTCATAATAATTACAATAACTTCATGTATTTTAATAATCACAATTACTGCATCTATCTTTATTCATTGTATTTATGGTCACAATGATGTTCGTTACAGTTACACTTTTGAGATCAATCATACAACTGAAATAATGTTTGAATATATTTAGCGTCTTGTATGCCAGTCTGTTTATGACATGCTTAGTCATTTTAGGACTGGATTCTCCGCTATAGTCTGGTTCTGAGAACGTAGGCAGATCATGAGAAGGGAGGGCAGGAAGGGTTGCTTCAGTGGGCTTAGTTCTTGGGACCCTTTCGTACACGCCCAGGGAAATGCCTATCGCCACTTTGAGGTCAGGAAGCAATTTTTCTCCAGGCCAGTTTGGCCGGGGACCCTGGAGATTATTTTATCATCTTCTGAGCATGGAACAGCAGTCATGGGGGGGGGGGGAATTTGGGAATTTCCTGCCTTGTGCAGAGGGTTGGACTAGATGACCCCGGAGGTCCCTTCCAACTCTATGATTCTTTTCTATGCTGGGAGGGTTTGCTGCTGTATTGCTTTGTTTGCACGGGAGCTGTTTTCAGGAAGGGTGTACAAGAGGCAATCTGTGCTTCTCTTCAGCAAGGCATGGGCTGCTTTCGGACATTCCCCCCCTCTCTGCCACAGTGACGCTGTTCCAAAAGGAATCAAGGCTTCGGTCCCTTGAGAAGTTCTGTGACACAGTAATGGGAACAGCTGTGCCTGTGGGAACCTTGGCTTTTCTAGGTCTTTTAAGGGGAAAGCCGCCCAGGTCTTTTTTTGTATACAGCTGCTCTTTTCTGAACATCTGCATCACATTATTATTATTTATTAAATTTCTGAATTGCCCCATCCCTGAGTACACAGAGCTCTGGGCGATTTACAATAAATATACAAAAGTACAGTTTAAAATCAATAATCGGTTCATCCCAAAAGTTTCGCAAGACGAAAATTTCTCATCATTCTGTCTTCAACACAACTGTTTGTCAATGGAGGAAATGTGTATGGTTTAGCGGCTGATTCAGAGAGCCAGTTTGGTGTAGTGGTTAAGAGTGGCGGACTCTAATCTGGGAGGACCGGGTTTGATTCCCCGTTCCTCCACATACAGCCAGCTGGGTGACCTTGGGTCAATCACAACTTTTTCCAGAGCTCTTCTCTCAAGAGCAGTTCCCTCAGAGCTCTCTCAGCCCCACCTACCTCACAGAGTGTCTGTTGTGGGGAGAGGAAGGGAAGGCAATTGTAAGCCAATTGTAAGCCTCCATGCTGGCTCTTAGTGGTTAACAGCAGCGGACGCTAATCTGGAGAACCAGGTTCGATTCCCCACTCCTCCTCCACATGCAGCCAGCTGGGTGACCTTGGGTCAGTCACAAGTTCTCTCAGAGCTGTTTTCTCCAGAGCAGTTCTTGAGAGAGCTCTCTCAGCCCCACCTACCTCGCAGGGTGTCTGTTGTGGGGAGGGGAAGGGAAAGGAGTTTGTAAGACGCTCTGAGACTCCTTCGGGTAGTGAAGGGTGGGGTATAAAAAGAAACTCTTCTTCTTCTTCAAGAGTCAAGGGACATGAAAACAATGTCATATAAAACAATAGTAATGTGCATGCACGGGGAGGGGACATCTCTTGTCCTCCCTACCATTTAAACAATACTCTTGAGGAGATAACCCACAGTTCCATCCTTGGAGGCGAAAGTTCCCCGGGTTCAAACCCTGGCACGTGTAGTTACAGCTCTAGTGGGGTGCTTAGAGGAGGTTATCTGCTTGAGACCTCTGGGAGAAGCTACTACTCAGAGTAGATTCTTATTGGGCTCACCGGGGTCAATAATTCAGCATAGGGAATATTCATGTGTTCTTATCAGGGGTTATTTCCTGTGGGAGCGCACAGGAGCAGAGCTCCGGCAGTAAGGAGCCTAGGGGGCGGGCACATGCAACAAGCCCCACCCCCTGCTCCCAGCAGCCCTCAGTTGGGCCATAAGGAGCAAGAAGCAGCCAGGTAAGCTGCAGAGCCCCCTCCCCGGCCCCCCGGCGTCAAACGGTCCAGTGGCACCTTTAAGACCAAGTTTTATTCAGGTACAAACTCTCCCTCCTCTGCGAGGACAGATCTGCGCACCCCCCCCCCCCCCCATAGCTAGCAATCCAAAACAGTCCAGTGGCACCTTTAAGACCAAGTTTTATTCAGGTACAAGCTCTCCCTCCTCTCAGGGCAGATCTGTGCGTTCCCCCCCCCTCTATTGCTAGCAACCCAAAACAGTCCACGGTACCTTTAAGACCAAGTTTTATTCAGGCACAAGCTCTCCCTCCTCTGCAAGGGCAGATCTGCACGTCTGTTCCCCCCAATAGCTAGCAATCCAAAACAGTCTAGTGGAGCCTGAGTGGTGGGTGTTGCCTTCTGACACACTTCTGGTGATGTCAGGGGGTGTGGCATATGCAAATAAGTTATGCTAATAAGTTATGCTAATGAGCTCCTGCACCTCTTTTTCTACAAAATGACCCCGGTTCTTATGATCTCAGTGCAGAAATTAGATTATGGCCCAGCTCGGAGAGTGTAAACTTCTTGGTGTCGAAACCAAAGCTGCGTGAATCATCCGTAAGAAATTGTTTCAGATTTGTCTCAATTCACAAGTCATTAATGCAGGTTTTTTTAAAAAATATAACTTTGGCGTGGAGCAAAGAAGATAGCCAGGCTATGACCGAAGCGACTGAAAATGCAAATCCTGATTCAGCGTTAGTCCTACATCGCACTGTAGTTTGCCAAGGCGATTAACGGCGACTGAGGCAACCCCAGGAGCAAAAGACGTTCCAGGTCCCCTCTAGCCACCAGTGGGGGATGGGGGCCGTGGTTGCCAAATCCAGTTTGGGAAACTCCTGGAGATTTGGGGGTGGAGCCTGGGGAGGACAGGGACCTCAGTGGGGCACGATGTCGCAGAGTCCATCCTCCCAAGCATCCATTTCCTCCAGGGTAGCTGATCTCTGCAGTCTGGAGAGAAGCTATAATTCCAGGGGATCCCCAGGCCCCACCTGGAGGTTATATCAACAATAATAATCAGTCTGTACAATCTAATAGCTACCAGTCAATTTACATCCTTTTTACACAATCAACCCCATTGGGAGTTTCTAGAATTGTACACCCGCTTCATAATTCATGAGTCTAAAAAATATAACTTGGCTTCATGTAGTTTTCTTACCCCGTTAAGCAGCTGACAATCATAGACGGAGCACTCCTGTCTTTCTCTCTTAACAGCCTTTTGTAGGACCAGCAACAAACATCAATTTAAACTTCAATGTAACCATAAAAGGAAACTTTCCCCTTTAGAGGACTTTCAAGCAAGGAAGAGCAGGTGTACAATTCTAGAAACTCCCTCTGGGGGTTGATTGTGTGAAAAGGATGTAAATTGACTGGTAGCTTTTAGATTGTACAAACTGATTATTCTTGTTGATATTGCATGTAATGAATATATACCCGTTTTAGAATATTATGAATAATACACAATGCACTTTATAAGATGGAACATATAGAACACTTTAACTTATAAATAAGGTTTTTGCAGTGTATATATTTGTTGTCTGACTCTTCTAACACTGCAGCTTGAGTTTCCACACCCACTTGGAGGCTGGCATCCCCAAGGAGAGATTGCGAAAGAAGAAGAACAAGAGATTGGATTTATACCCTGCCCTTCACTACCCAAGTGTCTCAGAGCGGCTTACAAACTCCTTTCCCTTCCCCTCCCCACAACAGACACCCTGTGAGGTAGGTGGGGCTGAGAGAGCTCTTGACAGAAACGGCTCTTTTTCAAGGACAGCTCTTATCAGAACTAGGGCTTGCCCAAGGCCATCCAGCCAGGTGCAAGCGGAGGAGTTGGGGAGTCAAACCCGGTTCTCCCAGATTAGAGCCCGCGCACTTAACCACGACACCAAACTGGCTCTGGTACCTCAGGTCCTTCCAATGAGTTTTGAAATATTATAAATTAGGCGTCTTGTCAGGCAGGAGAATTAAGTGCAATCTGCTGAACTCAACGTGACCTCCGTGTTTTACAGGACCCAACCCATCACTTATGAAATAGTAAAACGCCTCTCCGTTTCAGAGCCAAAACGGATGAGGTGGTGAGTGAGGGTTACCAGCTCTGGGTTGGGAAATTCCTGGAGATTTGGGGAGGGCGGGGTTTGGAGAGGGGCGGGACCTCAGCAGAATACAATGCCATAGAGTCCACCCTCCAAAGCAGCCATTTTCTCCAGGGGGCGTGACCTCTGCGGTCTGTTGATGAGCTGTCATGGCGGGGGATCTCCAGGCCCCACCTGGAGGTTGGCAAGTCCACCTCCACAGCCCCCTCTTGGAGCACATCCTTCCTTGGCGGCTATCAACAGACTCTTCCATTGGATCCTCTGGGCTTGTAATGAAGTACGAAGGCTGAGGACGTTGCCTTGAATTGTCTTTTGGTCGAGACGTCTTAGAAATATTTCCCCCCTTTGTTTGTTGAGCCGGCGCCTGTGAATGGGAAAGACCTTTCGAGGTCTCGAATGTGTACAAAAGTAATAAGAAATGTAGCACAAAATTGGGGGGGACGACGACCTTGTGCTGTGTTCAGGGGTAATTTCGTAGAAAAAAAGGTGCAGGAGCTCATTAGCATAACTCATTAGCATAACCTATTTGCATATGCCACACCCCTTGACATCACTGGAAATGTGTCAGAAGGCAACACTCACCGCTCAGGCTCCACTGGACTGTTGTGGATTGATAGCTGATGGGGACGGGATGGGGCATGCAGATCTGTCCTCACAGAGGAGGGAGAGCTTGTACCTGAACAAAACTTGGTCTTAAAGGTGCCACTGGACTGTTTTGGGCTGGGGGGGCTCTGCAGCTTACCTGGCTGCTTCTTGCTCTGACTGAGGGCTGCTGGGAGCAGGGGGTGGGGCTTGTTGTATGTGCCCGCCCCCTGGGCTCTTTACTGCCAGAGCTCTGCTCCTGTGCGCTCCTGCAGGAAATGACCCCTGGCTGTGTTTGGTGTAGTGGTTAGAAGCCAGTTCGGTGTAGTGGCTAGGAGCGTGGACTCTAATCTGGGAGAACCGGGTTTGACTCCCCACTCCTCCACATGCAGCTGCTGGTGTGGCCTTTGGTCAGTCTCAAGTCCTCTCGGAGCTGTTCTCTCAAGGGCAGTCCTCGAGAGAGCTCTCTCAGCCCCACCTACCTCACAGGGTGTCTGTGGTGGGGAGGGGAAGGGAAAGGAGATTGTAAGCCACTCGGAGACTCCTTTGGGTAGTGAAGGGCAGGGTATAAATCCAATCTCTTCTCTTCTTCTTATTTTACCCACACACACACACACCCCAAGTATCCATAGCATTCAAACGTTTTATGGCGTTCAAGGCGTCGGCACGCTTTGTACTTACGTGTCTCAACCATAAATTGGTCTCCATGATCTGGTTCACTTCATCCTGGGGAGGGGAAAAAAGCCATAAGTGGATCTGAAACCATTTAGGGGAAAAGAAAGTTAGGCCTCTTTCTTTAGCGTTGTCAACTCTGGATTTGGAAATACCTGGAGATTTGTGGGTGGAGCCCGGGAGAGTGTGGTTTAGGGTGGGGAGGGACCTCGGTAGGGTGTGATGCCATACAGCCCACCTTCCGAAGCAGCCCTTTTCTCCCGGAGAAGTGGAATAAATGTTTCAAATAAATTAAGGTGTGATATTCTGGAGATCAGTTGTGATTGTGGGAGATGTCCATCCCCCGCACCTGGAGGTTGGCAACCCTATCTTTCTTGGGCCCAATTGTACTGTCCAGTACAATTGAGAGCCAGTTTGGTGTCGTGGTTAAGTGCGCGGACTCTAATCTGGGAGAACCGGGTTTGATTCCCCACTCCTCCACTTGCACCTGGCTGGATGACCTTGGGCAAGCCGTAG